CCTGGGGCTTCTCTCACCTGATCCCCACCCCTGCCTCAGAGCACCTAGCTGGGTGTCTCCATGTAACTGTGTAACATGTAACTGGAGATGTCTCTTGTATGTCTCCAGAGTCAGAGGAACCCTATTCCACCCAACTCTGCCTCCTCCAGGACATCTAAAAACAGGCCATGTTTCCTGGAGGGCCCAGGACTGTCAAATGAGCCCAGGAACAGGAAGGTTCTGGAGAAGAGGAGCTGTCCACAGGCATCTCAAGCCTCTCCTGCATGGCCAGCTAGCCCACTGGACATTACCATGGAACCCCTGCTCCTCCCAGACTAGCTCAGGGGGCTCTGGGTGGGCCCTTCACCTTTGTCTGGCTAAGTAGATTTCCCAAGCAGTAGAGCTAAAGAGAGAAGCAAAAAGACCCAGAAGGAATACCCCAGAGGCTCAGCCCTGGTCACAGGGACAGCTCCACAGTGGGAGCCTGTGATAAGGAGATCCCAACTGCATTATGGAGTTTCAGGCCCTCTACTTTGGTGGGCGAAGCCTTATCTGCCTCAGCTTACTCATCTATAAAGTGGGGCAATACTCCTGTCAGCCTGGTGGAGGAATTGAGTGCATGTGTGTGGAAGCTCCGTGTGCCCCTGGCACGGTCTGTTGGGTCAGGTTGGTGCTGCTTCCATCCTGCAGTCCTTCAGGAGATGGCCACTCTGGGCCAGGTGTGGGGTAGGGAGGAAAGACACCATTCAGGCCTGGGGCACAGTAAATGATATCAACAAGGCTAGGATGGAGAGAGGAAGGGAGAGCAGGGGCATAGTCTGAGGAGGCAGTGTGAGGGGAAGGCTGGGAAGACTTCTTAGAGGGTGAGGACCTGTAAGAAGGCTTCCAAGAGCCAACCAGGGTGCACATCGTCTGTGCACACTGAGCCGGGTGGCACGGGAGGGTTAAGGCAGTCCCTGGCTTAGCTGTCTCTGTGCTTCACCCTGGCCTGCCACCAGCTGTTTGGGTTTCCAGCTCCCTCCCCCTCCCACCTCAAGGCCAGGCCTTATCTTGTCATCTAGACTGTCCCCAGAGCCTCAGAGGCAGCAGAGGCTAGGCAGGGCCAGGTGCTAAACAAGAGTGTGAACCACGTACCAAAAGTACCCTCAAGGGTGCCAGAAAAAATGGAAAATGCTATCCATTTCGTGGAAACTCTACTTAAGGCTGTGTTCATGAATGAGAAAAGGAAGGTGTCCCAGTGCACTCTGTTTTCAAACAGGTGCAGGACCTGGGGCAAGGAAACAACAGGAGCCCCAAAGCTTTTTCTCAGATGTGCCCTGTCCCCTGCCAGCAGACCTTAGCTTCTGCATCAGTCACCTCAATTCCTGCAGCAGCCACCTCTGGCTTCACATGGGCCCCGAGGGTCTGGGGAAACATTGCCCCTGATGTGCACCTCCCTCCTCAGAACTTTAGCAAAAAAGGAAAAACCCAGGTCCCCTACCCTCTCCTTCCCTATGGCAATCCAGTTTTTCAGTTGTCTTCCATCACTCTGCAGATGAGATCTGATTTCTAATCGTGGTTTCTTCTTTTTTAATGACCCTGAAGGTGGTAACCGATCACAGATGTTGGATTGAAAAAAGAAGCGTCGTGGAGATTCCAGCTCTGTTAGTTAGATCGTGGGTAGCAGCTGATTGTGGGACACAATTTTGGCCTGAAGCACCTACTGTAGGAAGGTTACAGGTTTGCACCAAGGGTCCCTTACACACTGAGGCTTTAGCCCCAAGCAAAGCAAATTCAAATAAAGCACCTACACCCCTGTTCAGACGCTGGCCCAGCACTCCCGACTTCTGCCATTTTACCAACAGGTTGCAGAGAAGGAAGCTCAGATTGTCCTGCTAATCAGTGAGGCTGGGCAGGGTACACTTGGGGCTTCCCATCCAAAGGTCTAGGGCTTCGCACTGAGCCCGATAATCTCCTCGGAAGTAGCTACAAGTGGCACAGACATCAAAGGAAGCAACTGGGGAGGAATGGAAGCTGGAACGGGATCAGTGATGTAACTGAATTTGCCCTTTTCGGAGCCCAGCTGGACTTGTGCACTTCCCTGATTATTACAATGGTCACTGTTCTCTGGGATCCCTGGAGAGCTGGGGCGGGATTCAGGTAATATCCCTCCAAAGCCTTTTACAAAGGCACAGCCACAGATTCAGTGATTCAAGTGGTAATTATATATGTTTTTAAAATCCATTTCATAGAGTGAGCTAATAACTGCAGCGAGAAGAAGCGTTCATTAGTAGACGCCCAGTGCCAGCCTCAGAGACTTGGGCGCAAAGTGGAAGCATGCTTGAGACATTGCTCAAGGTTAGATTAAAAATAAGAACATCCATGAAGATTAACCTGACTCATTAATATCACTGTCCAATAAGAGGCAATTCCTTGGAGGGCATGGCTTGGGGCTGGGTTTTGTTCTAGGCCTAGGAGCACCTTAATTTGCATTTATATTAAAAAAAAGAAAAAAACAAACAGAATTAACTGGAAAGGTGCTTCATTTCCTATAAATTTGAGCTCTTCTGCTAACCAGCTTCTTACGGCAGAGAGCATGAGGCTCAGTCTACGTCCAAGAACATGGATCTCATACCTACTAAGCGCAGGGCACACTGTGCCCGGCAGCTGCAGGCATGTGGATCCCACCCAGCCCTTCAGAATCAGCCCATCAGGTGGTTGTCGTGTAATGTCCCTTCTACTGGTGGGAAAACTGAGGTCAGGTGTTGGGAAAATGGCTTCCCTGTGGTCTTACGCTACGGCAGGATTCAGATTGCAGGATTCAGATTCCAAGCCAGGTCTGTGGGCTCCAAGTTCAATGTCTTTCTGCTACTGGGAAGCTGCGTCAGAACAGTCTTTTCTTCATACACACACACACACACACACACACACACACACACAATTTCAACCTCTTTTCCAGAAAATCAGTTGAAAACCCAATAAAGGAAGTGAGAAAACCAGCACATTCCTCAGATGCCCTGTGGTCCTGTACTGACGCGAATCCCACCACCACCCCTACCTCGGCTGAGACAACCTCGTCCATTTAGCTGCACCTTCCTTGACGTCTTCTCTTCAGAGTTTTAACCGTTAGAAGCATATACCCAGAACTACCGATCAGAATCCACAATGCAAACAATCTCAATAAAAACTTCGTCAGTCTGAACAACATATTTCCTAAGGAAAATTGGAACATTTCTGGGTTTGCTTTTAACTTCAGTCCTCTCCTCAATGTTGTAGTTCAACTCTTGGGAGCAGGCACACATTTTATGTGCTTGTTTTCCTGCTGGAAGCCAGCACACCGGCCAGTCTCACCTGCCTGCCATCTAGATCAATAAAGTCATGTTTAGGGGGTCAGGAGCTTTTTTTCCCTCCCCAGGGTAGTCAGTTTCAGAGGCATATTTCTTGCTCTCTGGTTCTCTAGCCAACAGTCCCCTGTCCCCTGGAATCATCCCCTGTGCATCTGCGTGCCACTGCCACAGTTTAAAGACAGAGATGACGGCAATGACCGACTGGCCCTCTCAGATGCTGGAAACACAGGGTGGGGAGGGAAGGACTCGCCTGTGCTTTGGGTGCTGGGCAAAGGGCATGGGGCAAGCAGAGGCAAAGCTGATTTTGTCTACAACAGAAGGACAAATTCTTTTACAAAACATGAAAACCTGCACCAATGAATTAAACATTTAAAACAAGATGACTCTCTAAAAAGTCTTTTCAACCAAGAAGGAAAGACAGGCCGTCCTGTGCTGGCGCTTCCTGTTGCATATGGCACTAAGAAATTCTGTTTTCCAGTGTGCAGAGCTTCCAGACAAAGGAAAACATCAAGGGGCAAATTAGAGGAGGAGGTCCACGGAGTAAGGCAGCAGGGCCCAGGAGAAGGGTGGGGGCTATTCTCAGGCACAGGAGGGGCGCAGGAAAGAGACCATCCCTGAGCTAACCCTGAAAGGTCCAAGGAGATGGCCCTGGGGAGGCAGCCTGCCGTTCTGGAACAAGTGGCAAACCACAAAGACACCACCCTGCCTCCTGCCACGCAGGGCATCCACCACTTGCAGTGGCATGAAAGGACCTGTTCTAGTTCCCACGGGTCTCAAAGTGTGATGTCTGTGAGTTCTCCCAACCCGACCTTAGTGGCGCTAATGCCCTAGGGACTCGACAGAGACCGCTCAGTGAACAGAGCCCTTGGGCATCGGACCTACAGGCATCCCTGTGGTGTACCAACTGGACCCTCTCCAGGGACTGGGGCTAAACTTCTCAGGTTTCTGGGCAATATCCAGACTTGCTTTACACACTGTCACAGCCTAGGGGGTGGGCGGATTCTGCCCTGCCCCCACCCTGGACCTCAATTCTAGAGCATTTCACCACAATGCCCCTGACCCCCACCCCAAGCACCAGAGAGCCAACTCTCTCCTCCCAGGGGCCTGGCAAGTCCAACCCCTGAAATTCCACGAAAAAGAGCCAAGAGGGAAGAGAGGTGAAATCTGGGCTCAGGAAGCCCGGAGAGGGACCCAGAAGCTGTGGAGGGTCAGTGACTCCCACGCCCCAGGAGCACTCCCCTGCCATCTGAGTCCCTCTGGAGGAGCCTCGGGTGCCAGGCCAGCCCTCTCCAACTCCCTGAGAGGTAGTAAGTGTAAGGCTTGGAACCGGCGCAGCCCAGCCCGCCCCGGGGCGGTGGGTGGGTGGGTGTCTGCTATGGGATTATTCTTAGCGCTCCACTCTCTTCGCAAAAGTGGCGCCTCCGCCCTCCCGGCTCCAGCACACTCGCTCAGGGCTCGCGAGCCCGGCCCAGACACCAGCACGATGGAGAGCCCGGGTGGGGTCCCGGAAGGATGAGGCTCCAAGCCATGGGCAAGGCGTGGGCTCCCCAGAGAGGAAGGGGCGCTGAGGGAGGCCCCCCGCGAGAGGCTGCGTTTAACTCTCGAAGCCCCGCACCCAGCCCGACGCGGCGCGCTCCGCCACCTCCCCGGACTCCTGCCCGGGCACGGGGAGCCGGGGGCGCACCCAGCCCTTACCTATGGTGGTGATGACCGTGATGGCAAAGTAGAAGGAGCCGGCGAATTTCCACTGGACGCCGGCGCGGTGCGGCTCCGACTGCAGGATCACCAGCTCCAGCTGCCGGTAGTCCTCGCTGGTGATGTTGTACTTGCCCCTGATCCGGATCTCCTCGGCTTTGAGCTTCTCCTCCTCGCGCATCTCATGGTCCGACTCGAGGGCATCGAAGACGGCGGCGCCCACCAGCAGGTAGGTAAAGGTGCAGAGGATGAGGGACAGAGTCCGCACGTTCTGCCTCTTCATGGCCGCCAGCAAGGCGAGGGCGCGGGGGAGATGTCCCGCAGACTGAGCGCGGCGCACGCCGTCCCACCGCAGTGCTCGGAGGCTGAAACCTCCAAGTTGGAAGCGGCGGTGGCAGCAGCAGCAGCAGGCAGTCGGCGACTGGGGAGCCAGAGGGGGTGCCCCTCCGCTGGGGCCGCCAGAGCCACCGCTACCGTGAGGCGGCTGGCAGGTCAGGGGCGGTGCGGGCCCGGGCTGCGCTGAGGAACCGGACAGGCACAGGAGGCTGCTCGAGCGCCGGGGCCAGCTGTCCTGGAGCCCCGACACCCTGCGCCAGACCCGGGCAAAGCAGCCCGTCTCACTCTCCAGGGCCACGCTGGGCGGCCCCTCTGGGCTCTGCCCGGGCCCCTCTGCCCTCTGCTCCTCATCGATCACTTCCACGGGAAATGCGGAAGCGGGAACGCACTCCAGATTGCGGCCGGCGGGCCGCCCCGGGGGCCGGCGTCCCGTGGGCTCCAGCTTTCCGGCGATGGTGCCCAACGAGGAACCGTTAGGTCCGCGCGCGCACCGCGGGACCTCCTTACCCTTTTACCCCTCCTCGCACCCCTTCGGTGGTGGGGAGGAAAAGTTTGCGAAGTGGCGGTGTCTCTAGAGTCCCCTGCAAGCAGGCAATGGGGCGAGCAGGTGCAGCGGGTGAGGCAGCCCGATGCCCGAAGGTCCGTGCGCCCTGCGCCCACCCAGGTGCAGGGGGGCGCAGCGAGGTCCCTACCGGGTGTCGGCCGGTCCGCGAAGTTTGCTTGGCTCAACCCCCAAGGCACCGGAGCGAGGTGCGGCCCCGGACGGCAGGGACCGCGGTGGAGCGGCCTCAGGGGCGGCCGGGGGACAGCGCGGGGGCTGTCACTCAGCCCGTTCCTCCGGGGACGACGAGCGAGGCGGTGGGAAGGGTCCTGCTGGTCTTGCGGAGCTGCAGGGCGGGCGCGGGCGCACCAGCTGCGCGGGTCTGGGCCCTCCGGCGTCTGGGCGTCCGAAGAGGCTGCCGCCGTGCGCTGGTCTGCCCGGGGCGCTACGTGCGTGCGCGCCGGAGGGAGCCCGAATGTGTGTGCGTGTGCGTGTGTGTATGTGCGCTTGGCAGTCCCGCTCGGGCGGGAGGGCTTGGGGAGCGGGGGCCGGGCCTCCCTCCCTCCCTCTCGCAGCCTCCAGGGCGCGCCACCTCCCGTCTGGTCCCCAGCCAGCTGGCGAGGCTGTTGTGGCAGCTCCCGCTGCAGACCAAGTGCGGTGCAGGGCGCACGCGGAGGGAGCCCGGCAGAGGCGGCCCGAGCGGCTGGGGCGGGGGCGGGGGCGGGGGCGAGCCAAGGTTTGGGGATCGCAGAGTGGGGGGTGGGGCGGAGCCACAGGCCGGTTTCGGCGGGGAAAGGGAGAGTAAACGAGGCTGCTGCGGTCCTTCTAGTCCCACTCCCCTAGAGCGCACCCGGCCGTGTCGGGCGGAGAGTTTGAGGGACTCGGGGTTGGGAGAGGGAAACGGAATTCAGCCCGAGATGGCAGACTGGCAGCTTAAGGGAGAGGAGAGATCCGGCAGAGAGTGGGGAGCAGAAGAGGGAGGTGCCGTGGGTACCCGGGAGCGCGGCGGCTGCGGTGCACGCTGTCCCCCCTCCCACTCTGGCCAGACACCTGGCGCAGGAGCGTGTCACTGGCCCGGGACACTGCCTCACGGAGTGGTGGGGTCCCCAGCGCATCAGCTTCAAAGAGTGGCGCCCCCAGGGTGGCCCAGCACCTGCCGACCTTAGCCCTCTCCCCAGTAGAGCGCTGAGAATAGCGTGCGCCGCCACTCTTGGAGTCAGGAGCGCAGGGGAGGACGTCTCATCCTCCCTACCCAGTACCCTGTCTGTTGCTTTTCTGAAAAACACTTCTTGGTTCCCCATACCTGGGAGCAGGTTGCGCCCGGGACGCAGCCCTTCCCCTCCCCAAGCCACGCGGTGACCTCTCTCAGGACCAGCCTGGGAAAATAACACGAGGCTAGAGCCGGGGGCGCAGCTATTCCGTGTGTCCAGAGAAGAGGCCTGGCCAGGCTTATCTCCTACCCACTGCGGTCTCCTTTGCCCTCCTCCCCTCCTCCCTTCTTCCTCCCTCCTCCCTCTCCCCCTCCCTTTAGGTCGTCAAGGGGCTTTCCCTCGACCACCGTCTCCTAAACTCTCCCTTGGGGAGGGGCGCTCTGAAGGATAGGCCCGGGGAGACCCCAGGGCGGCCTCTCTGGGCCCCAACCAAGGAAGGGATATTGTCTTGGGGAAAGAGAGGCAGGCCAGGTGGTGGGCTAAGAAACTAAGAGGCGGGGTCTAGAGGCTGGCCAAGGAGATTAAGGGTAGACCCAACCATCAGGCAGCTAGCAGGCTCCAGGAGCCCGGTCCCCTCTGGGCCACCCCCTTGGGCCATATTGGGGCTCCCTGTTTGCAGGGACTCAGGATGCAGCGGGTCTGGGACCCCTATGCCCCACCGAGGCTCCCCAACTGGGACGTTCTCCACCGGCTTTGAAGGCTCCGGGGTGGCCCTGGGGGAAGGGGAGCCCGCGCGGAGCGCTACATCTGGGTAGTCTCCGCTGGGGCTGCGGGCGCCCTTGGGCACCCGAGTGGGGAGCTCCACCCTGGGCAGGCACTCTCCCCAGAATTCGTTTTGGAAACCGAGGCCCTCACGCTCGGCAAGTGAGACTGGCTGCCGGGTGAGTCACCGCGAGCGGGCGACAAGGATTCCCAGCAGCTGGTAATTAATTGCGCGGTGGCTCAGCCCACGACGGAACCCCAGTCAGGCCTCCCGCCGCCCTGGCAGCGGCGCCACCCCTGAGTCAGCCGTCGGGCCTCCGCGCGGTCCGGAAGCGGCCTGCCCGCCTCGGCACCACCAGGGGGCACTGGACTCCGACCACAGGTCGGCGGGTTGCGCCAGCCCGGCGCAGGGCAGTCCGGGCCGGCCTGGTGCAGGCAGCAGCGGGGGATGGGACGCGCCACGCGACGGATCCTGAGCTTTGCAGACAGCACTTCTATTTGGTTTATGGAACTTCCATTTACATGCAGCCTTTCAGGAAAATGCAATGGCTGCGTGTGAGTGCTGGAGGGGACCTCAGAGACGAATTACTCCAAACCCCTTGTTTTACAGATGGGAAAACGTCCAGCCAGCGAGGGCCACGTGCCCAGGATCACACAGTAATGCCGATGATCTAGAACCTGCACCCGCCCCGCGCGCTCACAGCCTGTCCGCGCCCCTCCACGGCCAGTCCCTGAGCCTCACTTTCTTCTTTAGTAAAAACATGTATCTTGTTGGTTAATAAAGAAAGCCAGGGTTCTATAACTCTACCCACTGCCTACGTGTTTGCTCCGTTCTTTACACACAGTGGGCGAGCCTGCAGCCCCCTGCCTGCCCAGAGAGGCCCATCGGATCGGTTTATCCTGGTCCCACGTGGGTAAGGGAGGACCCGACTTCCAGGCCAATGCTGCGGCGACATCACCCCGTGTGAAAACAGATTTTGCCGCCCTGCAGGCAGGATGCACAGTGCTCTGGGACGGGCTGATGCCCAGCTGCCACCATTGCCATGTCTCTCAGCCCCGGGCCAAGGCAGATTTTATGTGCTGGGAAGAAGCCACAGCTGTCTGCTGCTCCCAAAACATCCTGACACCGTGGGTACCTTTAATACTTTGTCACTTTAATACCTACATCTATGAAAATAGGCAGAGGGTGTGGAATCATCATACCCATTTTACATATGGGAAAGGCGAGGCACCACCTTCCCATCCGGGTGGCCTTAAATGACAGTGAGGATCTGGGACGAGTCTGCCCTTACTCAGGGCCCCATTGCTAGAAGTACATGCTCCTCCCTCTACTCCTAGCAGATTCCTCAAGGCTAGTGGTATGTGCACAGTTGATGGCAGGTCTTGGCCTTAGACCTCCAGCAGTAGCAGATTCTAGAGAAAAGCACTGCCAAGGCAGGCCCATCCAGGGTGTCCCACACTTTAGGATGTAAACAAGTGTGTCTTATGTTTGCACAGTGTGGGGAACACCAGGTTAAATGGTGGACAAGTCAGGACTGCTCAGAGCCTTTGGTCCACTAACCAGCATCATGACCCCTGGACAGGAGTACTTGAGCTGTATTTCCCAAACTCACTCGACCACGGAGCCTGCCTTTGGGAGGCCTTGCCTCTGCGGGGGCAGCTGTGTCCTCCTTCACCAGGCACAGGCAATAGGGGCCCAGGCCAGCGTAGTGCCAAGAAGACCCGGGTGGGAGAGGGAGGGGCGACCCAGCCCCTGGTACACAGTGGGTGTTCAATACTTGTTTCATTGGCTCCCTTTTAAATCCAAAAGATGCCTAGACAAGTCCCCAGGGCTCAGTGGCTAAAGATGTGGGCGCCAGAGGGAAGAGATTTAGGAAAATGGCTCGAGCTTCTAAGACACAAGAGGCAAAGCCAGCGATGGAAGAGGGAAACTGAGGCTGGGTCTGGCTAAGGTGATGTGACCTTTGAGTTGTTGGACCTCCGGCTGCCCAGGATGTGGGCAGGTGACATGAGGACATCGGCCCACACTGGCTGGGGTCCCCCACTTAGATGCCAAGCCCTGGTGGGTCTTGCTGGGGATTTCCACGCCCCAAACTTCTCTGGTGTGGTGGATCTCCAAGGGCGGCCGCTGGACAAAGGCACCTGGATGTTCACACTCACAGCCCTGCAGGACCTGGAAGAGAGGCAGAATCGGGGCACAGAGCAGATCCGATCTGCCCCCGAATTAGAGGCCTTCAGGGGAAGGAACTTCATTTTAATGGATGATGAGCAAGTCCCTCTTGGATTCAAGGTCACAGAGCAAATGGGGAAAAAGCCAACCCCTCCTTCAAGCCCCTCCTCACTTAGGCCAAGGATGCCCCCCAGTGCTCCGTGCACACACACACCTTGCTTTACTAGAGGAAATCTTATTAGTGGATTTCAGGATTCTTAAGGCAGCCTGAGCCACTGCCTGTCTCCACACCTGATCCGTAAATAGCTGCATCGCGTTCCCCACGGAGCCCATGGTGCTCCCGGGATCAATCGCACAATTG